GGTGGTATCAAAGTACGTGCTTTTATTATTTTTTTTCTACATCATCTTGAGTGGAACCCTTAATTGTGATGTTTTAATCGGTGTTTAAGTCTTCTGATTTGTGGCTGTTTTGTTCTATCAATTATTGTACTATTTATGTCTTTCATGATTTAGAGAGTTGTCTGTTTCTTCCTGAAGTTTTATTTTTGTTCTATGTGTTAAGTGACTTCATGTCTTTTGATGCTTTTTGCTCTAAATGCAGTTTATCTAATATTTAACATATCCAAACCATTGTATGATTTGCATATGTGTTTTATACTGTCAGCTTTTCATTATTATGTTTTCAGTGTATCTGAGAAATGCCATATAGTTGAAATTTTTCTTTTATTCTGAGATCTTTTTAAACTTCATTGTTTATCCTATTTACATTTAACATAATTATCATTGTGTTGGATTTAAATATGTCACAACTTTAATGTTTTCTTTTTATCCTGCCTATTCTATCATTTTAAAATGTTTATCCACCTTTTCCTTTCTTGCTCTCATTTGGATTGATTTTTTTAAATTATTTCATATTTTTCTCCTTTACTAGTAGCTAGATCCTATTTGGTGTTTCCCTGAGAAATATCACATCTTTAATATGCCAAAGTTTGATGTTACTAGTAACTTTACTAACTCTCAAATGAGAACCTTAGAACATTAGCTCAGTTTACCTGCTACTGATGGTGGTGGTGGTGGTGTTTGTTTTTATTTTGCCTTTTTTGTTGTTTTTTTTTGTTTGCCTTGTAAAACATTATAGTTTTAAACTGTCACTGTTCATTCAGATTGATCTGTATATTTAGCTCTTTTTTAAAAAAATTTATTTATTTATTTTTAGAAAGAGGGAAAGGGAAGGAGAAAGAGTGGGAGAGAAACATCAATGTGTGGTTGCCTCTCATGTGTCTCCTACTGGGGACCTGGCCTGCAACCCCGGCCTGTGCCCTGACTGGGAATCTTTACCTCACAGGTCTGTGCTCAATCCACTGAGCTACACCAGCCAGGGCTGTATTCTTAATTTTTTTTTATTATACAGAGTGGGGCAAAAGTAGGTTTACAGTTGTGAATACTCAAAACACAGTTAAAAAAGCTACTGTAATAATCATAACCTGCGTGTCTTTTTCAATATGAACAATTGTAAATCTACCTGACCCTGTATTTCCCTGCAGATGTTTTTATAATCTGTGCCTGATAATTTTGGTATTTGGAGTTTTTATGAATCTGTTTCTTGTTTTTCCTAGTCGTTGTTTGGGGGCTTATTTCTTTATGCTTCATATTTTTTCGGACAGCATTCTGCTTATTGTTTTTTGAAAAGTCTTGTGAAATTTCTTTGCAATTTAAGATAAAGATGCATTTCTCCAAAGAGGATTTCATTTGCTTCTTCCAAGTATCTAGAGAGTCTACCAATCCAATACTATTTTTAAGATACTGAATTTGTGGCTTGCATTTTGTTTGTTTTTCATTTTTGCTTTCTGTTTTAGCCACTATGGCATACTGATTTGAATTCTGTTAGAGGGCACCCTAGTTCTAATTCAAATTAGAAAATTTGAATTTTCTCAGGGGACCCCCACCCCCTCATTGCCTAGGCAACTTCCTTGCAGCTCCCTGAGGGTAGGGGTAATTTTTCTTCTGGTATACATTATCCCCAAGAGTGTCTAGCTTTTAGGAAGCCCAGCTTGAAGTGGGAACTGTTTTCTATTGAGCCTGGGTGAGCTTTTTCCTGTGACTGCTTTGTACTATGGTATCCTGGAAATGGAAATTGAGGATCTGCAGGTATCCTTGGGGCTAATGTGACTTTGGTGGTGCTTTTACCTGTCTTATGTTTCTGAATTCCCTTAGGTGTGACACTGGCAGATCCCTATTTTATCAAGTGTTTGATCCAGCTTTCTAAGGGAAGGTGGTTGGTTCAAATGTCCTAGCCTGCTCTATTTTCAGAAATAGTTTTAAACCTATTAGCTCTTGGAAAATACTTATTAAATATGTAACAGAATGATAAAATTGAATATTGTAGCTTTGATGATACATTCTTTCAAGTAGTGAGAATATTGCTATGAATGAATATCACAGGTGTTCTGGAGCTTGAATTTGAATCATTTCATTTGGTAAGGTAGAAGTGTTGGTCTTAAGGAGGTGGACTCTACTCATAGATCCTTTTACAGGATCATTTTGGTTATTTTTATTTTCTAAAATGAAAATGTTAGTTTTTCCTGATAAAGGGATGTATACATACTTTGAAAGTCCAACAATTCAAAAGTGGTAAAATAGAAAGTCCCCTTGAAGGAGCTATTATTAAAGAGTTTAGTGGTCATATATGTATGTGTACATGTGTGTTTATATGGTAAATTTCCTTATTTTGTTAGTAATTAATTTAACCACTATCCTATAAACATTTTATATTCTGTAAGTAGTGCTATAATGAATGTCTGTGTATGTGTGTGTGTGTGTATAATGTATACTTAAGGCAGTTTTTCCTTTTGATAAATTTCCAAAGTGTTATTTCCAAGTCAGAATATAGTCACTTTAAAATGTTATTACATAATTGCTAGCCAGTAATCAGCAGTTTGAGAGTCTCAGTTTCTACATATCCTTCTAATACTGAGTTTTATCATTGTTATCTTTGCCAGTGAGAAAAAGACCTTGTTTTAACTTACATTACTTCCTATATTTAATGGCCTTTGGATTTTTCCTTTAATGCTTGTCCAGGTCCTTTTCCTATTCATTTGTTAGGGTGTCTGTGGGGTTTTTTCCTGATGGATAGGAGCACATTATTTATTAAATAATTAAAATTGTTAATTATCATTGATATTGTAAATATTTTTTCCTGTTTGTAATTTTGTTTTTTAACTTTGTTTATGTTGACTTTCACCATTGAGAAGTCAAAAAATCTGAAGTGGTTGAATTTATCAGTGTTCTTCTTTCTTTTTTACTTACTGGTTTTGTGTTATTCTTAGGTGTTCCTACATGGTTTGTATTTTTAATGTCATGTTGAAAAAGTCCTCCACCACTAGAAAGTCATAAAAGCATTTGTTTACATTTTCTAATAAAATTTTTATATGATACAAGGAAACAATATTTTCCTTTTTAAAAATATCTATATAAATATTCCACCATCTTTTTAATAAGTTCTTACTAATATGAAATGTATTGCTTTAATCACTAATTATATATCCATATTATATGGTTATCTTTCCAAATTTTCTATTTTATGACATTGATCAACATACTCCCATATCAGTATTATACTCTTGCTTTATCAGTATTATAATGTTGCTTTGTATATGTTTTAATAGTTAGGCAAGTTTCCCTGATAGTCTTCATTAAAAATTGTATGGCTAATTTTAATTATTTTTTCAAGTGAACTTCAGAATTCATTTGTGAAGTTCAACAAAATCAATTCCCCAACAGAGAGCAGAGAGCAAGAGACCACCATGACATTCTAGCAAAAAAAGAAAAAGAAGAAAACCAAAAAAAAAGCACTAAGCATTGGCTTTTAGAGAAATTTGACAACTATAAAGTTTCAATATAGGAGCATAATATTGCCATTTAGTTTAGCTCATTTAATTTTATATCCATCAGTGAAGCTGTAGTTTTCTTTATATGTTGTATAATCTGCATATTTCTTAAGCGTACTTCTGAGTATTTTACAAATTTTTTTGAAATTTTGAATCTGCTTTTTCTTCCATTACAAGTTCTGATTATAATCAATTATTGTTAGTAAATGGGGAAGCTATTGACTTTTGTATATTTATTTTATATTTAACCATCTTACTGGATTCTTATTTTGTTTTTCAGTTGATTTGTTTGGTTTTCTTTGTGAATAACTATATCATCTAAAAACGATACTTTTAAAATTTTTACTGTTTTCCTGTGTTTATACTTCATATTTTTCCTTATCACATTGACCAGAACTTTTATGAAAATGTTGAATGATTGTGCTGTTAATGTGTTAATAACCAAGTCTGTTTCCTAATGTTAATGAAAGTGTCTCTACTGTAGCATTATTAATTATATTTATGTTAATTTCTGGAAAAATAGTTTTTGTTTTATTAAAGGTATTTATTACATTAAAGTTGTATACTTCCAGTTCACCCCCGCCCCTTAAGAGTTGCCCAATAATGTGCAAATTTTTTTTGGCATGTAAAGGGAAGAATCTTGACTTTCCCCCCCTCTTAACATTAATGTAATGAATTACATTAGTAGATTTCCTAATAATGAACCATCTTCACATTTCTGGAGTAAATCATACATAATTGTGACATGTTATTCTTATACTGGAGTATGGAACTTGTTTTGCTTGTATTTATTTCAGCCTTTTTTAAAATCTAAGTATAATATGGTGGGAACAGAATTCAGAGTAAAATAAGCTTTACCTATAAAGTAGGAAACAAATGTCTTAACCTTTATTTACTTGCAGGATAGAGAAAACATTTTCTTTGTAGGATTGAGGGTATTATGACGTTGATTTGTTGAACTCTATAAAGTAACCTGCAAATTCAGAGTTAAGTAAATAGAACCATTACACTGTAATCTTGCAGAATTTGAATAAGATAGTAATTCAGGTTTATAGATAGGCTATAATGCAGTGATTATGTTATTATGGTCCCCATGCTGGTTTTCAGAGAAGTTGTTTGTTTCTTAATCCTCACCTGAGGATATGTTTATTGTTTTTTAGAGAGAAAGGAAGGGGGTTGGGGGAGAGAAAGAGAAAGAGAAAGAAGGTGAGAGACACTGATTGGTTACCTCCTATAGATGTCCCAACCAGGGACTGAACCTGCAATCTAGGTATGTGCCCTGACTGGGAATTGAACCTGAAATCTTTTGGTGCACGGGATGATGCTCCAACCGACTGAGCCATCCAGCCAGGGTGAGAAGGTGTTTCTTTAAAAAATCATTATCATATTTGGTAACTGTGTTGTAACCTGTTGCATGTTTTGCAGTATCAGATTTTCTTTCTCATAATTTGTGTTTTCTTTAATGTTTTCCAGCGGCGAGTAGAACAGCCCCTCTATGGTTTAGATGGCAGCACTGCAAAGGAGGTATCGGAGGAGCAGTCTGCTCTGCCAACCCTGATGTCCGTGATGCTAGCAAAACCTCGGCTCGACACGGAGCAGCTGGCACAGAGGGGAGGTGGCCTCTGCTTCACTTTTGTTTCAGTGAGTACTGAGCCTGGATTTATGCAGATCCTTGTTGTCTTGGAGCTCCTTGATGAAGTTGGAATAATTATTTAGATAGAGGATGTTTCTAACTCTGCGTCACTTCTAAAGGTAGTGATAGGCTTCTTCTCAGTTTTCCTTGATTCAAGGGGTTGAGAGAGACTGTTTTGTTAATGTCTGAGTGCACCGTGGAAGGAAAATGAGATCTTAGGTTGACAAAGAAGCAAAGAAAATACAGATCCAATTCCGATACTACCAAATTACTTGCGTAATTAAAAATCAAATCTCCATACTCCAGCCGTCACTTATTTAAAGCAACATTCAAGTCAGTAAATTTTTAGCATGTAGTCAGGCATTCCATAGCTTGCTTACAAGTCATTTTCCCTCTGCTATTTGGGTGACCTATGTGTTTGCCTTCTTTTCACCTCTTTCAGAGTTTGATATGGTTACTTTTTCCAGGAATATTTGGTTATCTATTTGCTCTTTTCAGCTTCCTCCTTTTTTTCCCTCCTTACTTGGATCCCATGTTTATTTGCTAAATTACAATGCAGTTTGACTAAAAAGTTTCTACTTTTCTTAGTTTCTGTACCCTACCAAGTACTTGTTGGTGGCCAAGGATGCTATAAAGCAAGAGAAAGTCCTGTTGCTCTACCATTCTTAGAGGAATCTTTTGGAGCTAAGGTCACCACTGATTTAAATTCGTTTCTCTCTTAATGGTTTTTTTTTTTTTTCCAGTTATACTCTGAATTTCTTCTTTATTGGCTCTGGGTTCTCGGTCATTCGTTCATGTGCAGTTGTCTCCAAAAAGTCCATGAAAATGATGGATGTCTTAAAGAATGGAAATAAAAAACCCAAAATAATTAGAGGGAGAATCATAGTGCATTATTCAGACTGTTTACTTACAATTATTGTTTTCCCTCAAGAAGGAGATAATACAACTTTTAAAGAATGTACAGAACTTTTTAATCATCAAAGAAATGGAGAAACTCAAAAGAAACATGGCATAAAATGGGAGAATTGACCAATACAATATTATGGGCCTGACAGCAGTATGAAATAGTTTGTATGAGAATGCAGTAGTTCTCTGTGGTTTTAGTTTAGAAAGTGTGTCTGTCTGTCCCTCTGTTTATAATATATGTTTACATATATTTCATAGTGTCTTGTTTATTTACTAATATTTGTTAAATCTTCAACTTAGATCTAACTTTCCAGGCAGTACCTTGGTTAATAAGGGGGGTTATTTGTCTTTTTTTTCTTTTATTGCCTTGAAAATTACCTTCATTTCACTTGAGGGGAGCTCCCTTTGTTTATTCCAAAAACATTTTTGAATACCTCCTGTGTGACAGGCATATACACAGGATTTTGATAAGCGAGAACTCATTTCCCTAAAGTAAGCATCCCCCTAAAGGTATAGGCATGTAGGTGTTGGAGGATGAACATGGAGACAACCACCTGCTCATTCCTATCAGCAGGCACACTGAGCTGATTATATACTACAGCTAGATTGTTCTTAGGTGAAGACACATAACAAAGGGGAATTAAGAAAATGGTGTATTAAAAAAACAAGGAAAAAGAAAATGTTGTATGAATATGGAATGCTGTATAAAAGAATATGGAAACATTATAAAAACTGAAGGCCTGACTGCTTTGGTACACTTCTGTTTCTCTTTGTTTCTCTGCAGTTCCAGCCAGAATATAAGCTTACTAATAAGAAGTCAGAGAAAAGCAAAAGAGTTAACATTAATATACAATAAATGTGAATCAATAAAGACAAGCAGTTTTCTAAGAAAATAAGCAAAGGCCATGAGCAGACACTCACAGGAAAAAAGTAGTGACTGACCACATGAAAAAAAAAAAAGCTTAACCTCAGTCATAGACAAATGCAGAATAAAACAAGATAACATTTTTGACCTGTCAAATTGGTAAAGAATAAGTTTGATCATTCTCAGTGTAGGTGATAGTTTAGACACGCAAGCTGTTCTCTGTCAGTTGGTACAGTCATTTGGACAAGTTGGGAATGTATCTCATTGTTCAGTTTACATATTCTTAGGTCCAGAAATTCCATTCTTATACAAATGCACAGAGATGCTTATATTGTTTATAATTACAAAAATCTGGAAGCAATTTCCCAGTGTTTCATAGGGCCTTAAAAGGAGGATATCTGTGATTTCCAGTGTCAGAACTTACCCAGCATGATTCATTAGCCACAGTGATCACTGTCTTCTTCTCTAGCTGCTCCCTCTTCTCCAGGCTTCCCCTTTTGGTTCTTCTTCATTTCCTAGATCTTTAAATATTGGAGTGCCGCAGGGCTCAGTCTCCACACTCCTCTAGCTACCTTCATTCTCCATGTAATCTCATTTTCTTTCTTTGATCTAATTATATTCCTTATGGAGACTTTAAGTTTGTATCTCCAGCCCAGCGCTGTGCCCTGAATTCCAGACCTATATAGTCAGTTGCCACAAGTCATCTTCTCTTCTCGTATAAAAAGTATATCATATTTAACATGTCCCAAAACTGAATTCTTCATTTTGCCCCCCAACTTCCAAACCCTTTTTTTCCCATAGCCTTCCACATCTCAGTAATTGTCAGCTTTCCTTCTAATTGTTTAGAAACCTTGGAGTCGTTCTTGTCTCTTCTCTATTTATACCCCAATTACAAATCCATCAGCAAATCTAAGTGATTTTACCTTCAAAATATATTTATAGTCCTACTACTTCTAGCCTCATCACTACCACTCAAATCTAAACTACCATCTCCCACTGAGGTTGTGGCAGTAACCTAACTGGATTCTGCTTATACCTTTGTTTACTTTTAATTTGAATAGATCAGAGTGATCCTGTGGAAACATAAGTTTATTCATACCACTCGCCTGCTCAGAAGTGCTTAAAGTGGCACATGGTCCGTTTCCAGTCATTCTTGACACATCTCTAAGTACTGTCTTCCTTCTTCCCCAGGTTGCATCCATTCTGGGTGCCTTGTTTCCTCAGATATCACCTGTCATGCTCACCTAAGGGCCTTCATACTTGCTTTAACATTCTTTCCCCAGACATCAGCATGCCTTGTTCCCTCAGTTCTCTCTAGTCTGTTGCTTAAATTTACCCCATCAGAGAGGTTTACCCTGACTACACTATATAAAATAGCAATTCATCTCTGCCTACCCCACACATTATCTACCTTCCATGCCTTACTTTATTTTTTTCTTAGTCTTATCACAAGCTGCTTGATAATACAAGTTACTTCTTTGTCTGACTCCCCCATTTTCTACCAGCCCCCCCCCCCCAGCCCACTGGGATATGTTTTATCAGGTCAAGGATTTTGCTTTGTTCACTTCTATATCTCGAATGCCAGAACAGGATTTTCTCTGATAGACACTCATTGTAATTTTATTTTGCATGAGTTAATAATACATCCTTTATACAGGGACTAAATACAAATGATACACATACACAATGGAATGTTATACATTTGACAAAAGAAGTGAGATAGATATATTCTGATAATGAAAGATCTCTAGACATGTATTGATAATAGCAGGTGGCAGAATATTATGTTTCATCCTTTAAATATTACGTATATTGTTACATAATTATGTATGTTTTACCATACAAACTTTGACTTTTTAAAATTATAAGCATTACTTTTCTAATTGTAAAAATAGTACATATACAGGGACCACAAAAAATTGAAGTAATGAAAGAGTTAAACTCTTTCCCTTGCACCCTCCAGGGAGAAAAGTAGTGTTAAGTTTGTGTTTTAGATTTCCTGCTGTTTATCATTTTAACTTCAAAAAATATCTCTCTTAATCAACTCTAAACAAGATCTATTTACTACCCATTCTAAGAGATGAGTTAAACATACTCACCCATCTTCCTTTCTCAACTTTCAATTTTTAATTATTGTTACATAAGTGTGTGATATTTAGTTTATATTTAACTGAACTAAATAATTGAGTTTTTCTGCTTTATAAATTATTCTAAAATTTGAAAACACTTCAGGAACATTTATAATATTATGGTTTTTTCACTATTAGGCATTACAAAACCAGGTGATTTTAATGGGTTCACTGAGGGAAAAAACAGTTCTAGTTATTGAGTTAGTTTTGATTGAATGAGACAGTTCTAGTTGTCACAGTCTACTTAAATTTTTTTTTAATGTATATTTTATTGATTATGCTATTACAGTTGTCCCATTTTCCCCCTTCGCTCTCCTCCACCTTGCACACCCCCTCCCACCCGCATTCCTCCCCTTTAGTTCATGTCCATGTGTCATAAGTTCTTTAGCTTCTACATTTTCCATATAATTCTTACTCTCCCTGTCTGTTTTCTACCTACCGTCTATGCTACTTATTCTCTCTACCTTTTCTTCCTCTCTCCTCCTCCCATTCACTTGTTGCTAACCCTGCATGTGATCTCCATTGCTGTGATTCTGTTCCTGTTCTAGTTGTTTGCTTAGTTGGCTTTTGTTTTTGTTTTAGGTGTGGTTGTTAATAACTGTGAGTTTGCTGTCTTTTTACTATTTGTATTTTTTATCTTCTTTTTCTTAGACAAGTCCCTTTAACATTTCATGTAATAAGGGCTTGGTGATGATGAATTCCTTTAACTTGACCTTATCTGAGAAGCACTTTATCTGCCCTTCCATTCTAAATGAAAGCTTTGCTGGATAGACCAATCTTGGATGTAGGTCTTTGGATTTCATGAGTTGGAATACTTCTTTCTAGCCCCTTCTTGCCTATAGGGTCTCTTTTGAGAAATCAGCTGACAGTCTGATGGAAACTCCTTTGTAGGTAACTGTCTCCTTCTCTCTTGCTGCTTCTAGAATTCTCTCCTTCATTTTAATCTTGGGTAATGTAATTATGATGTACCTTGGTGTGTTCCTTCTTGGGTTCAACTTCTTTGGGATTCTCTGAGCTTCCTGGACTTCCTGGAAGTGTGTTTCCTTTGCCAGATTGGGGAAGTTCTCCTTTATTATTTGTTCAAATAAGTTTTCCACTTGTTACTCTT